CTAAATACCCACAAGTTTAGCAAATGAGAATGTATGTGCTTGGCTTGGTGTTAGATAAGCTTGAGTTTGAGTGTTGATAATTTGTTGTTTGTGGCTATGGTTGTGAGGATTTAAGAGTTTCAAGAGAAGAAGGATGATAGGAAAGCTCGAGGTTTGAAGGCTATGATGTTTACATCTTGGAGTTATGCTTGGTGAAGCTTTATGGATTTAAGAGTTTCCAGAGAAGGAGGATGGGAGGAAAAGCTTGAGGCTTGAAGACTATGATGTTTATAGCTTGGAAGGGTATAAGGAGGAAGGAAAAGCTTGGAGTTATGCTTGGTGAGGTTTAATAAGGAAGATGGAGGATTTCAAGGCTAAGAAAGTAGAAGAAATGGTTGTGATAGTTAAGGAATGGCTGCTGGAATGCTTGCAGCAGCCAAATGGAGGAAGGAAAGTGGTCTAATGGTTACTGGGGTGCTTGAGCAACCAAGAGATGTTGGTCGATGGTTGCTGGGATGCTTGCAATAGCCAAAGGATGGAGGTTGATGGCTCAGGACTGACTATGATGACTGCTAAAATGCTTGCAGCAGCTGAAGAAATGTGAGTTCTCATGATTGCTGAGAGGCTTGCAGTAACCAAGAGGGGTTGGCTTTGCCTGGGCAATGCCTCTCAATTTATAGAAGGTGAAGGCTCTCTTTGGTTTCTAATAGGTAAAAGGAAGTGTTGAAGCTAGTCTATTTCCAATGGGTAAAAGGGAGCATTGGGACATTCTTATTTCGAACAGGTAAAGCCAGACACTGAAAAATGACTACTTCCTATGGGTAAAAGGAAGTGTTGGAATTGGCTTGTTTCCAATGGGTAAAAGGGAGTGCTTGAAGAATATCTCATTTGCTCACCCACATTGGAGCACTCCAAGTAATGGGCTTGGACTTTGGTGCTCCCAAGTAGCTAGCTCAAAGTCTCCATTATCCAAGAGCTTCTGTGGGCCTTGTGGACCTTTGTAACCTTCCACACCACAATCTCTCGTGCAAGCTTGGATTATTGGTTCGGCATGACATGTACAGTATTTCTATATTTATTTAATTAATTAATTCCCAAAATACAGCTTGGATTAACGCATGACAAACATTATATGTTATATTGGACTTTAAATGTCTTTGGGCTTCCCGTGACTTTTTTGGGCCTCAACAACTATTAAGTTAATGGAAAAAAATATAGATTTGGCCTAATCCGATCCGATTTGATATAATATGTAGTTTATTTTATTTTATTTTTATGTACTAAATATATACATATGCACATATATCAAATTTGTGATATTTTTATAAATATCAAGAATACTTTTCAACTTCTTCGGTAAAAGAATTGGGATATCGTCCGATAATCCAACAAATTAGATATACATACATATATATATAGATCGAATCAGGTTGAAATATTTTCCTTAACTTCAATCGTATCAACCACCTTGTTTTCTGATTAAAAATTTTAAAAAAAAACTACCTTGTTCTAATTAACTCAACATTATCCAACCTAGGAAACAAATTGGAGAATAGCATCAACAATATAAATGACTTTGTTCCAATTAACCCAACATTCCAGTTCTATTCAATAAAAATTGTCCTATTTACATTGCAAAACCAATTAATTACTAATCCTCTTATGCTATACGCCAATAACTAACATCTCTTAACCGCTTCACATGATCTAATAAATTAGTTCCAGACAACTATCCAAAATGAACTTAAGCAAAGACAAAAGTCACCTATTTTGTCCACCATTTCAAATTGAGCGTGATTGGAATTTCTTTTGAAACAAAGCGATAGTATTTATTGAAGAAATAGAACATAGTACAAAGTCACAAAAGTGCCAAAATGGGTACAACATCTCTAGTGACCAAATGAATTGATTTGGAGAGAATTATGCCTAAACCAACAAATATTCAAACCCTTGATTCATCAGCCCAAAGCATTTTTACTCAGACTAACAATATAGATTCACTGCGCAACGGCAGAAACGGTAGATCTTTATCTCAACTGAAAACAAAATATAAAACATGAAACTTCTAATGAGTACAAGACTAAAACAAACAAAGAAAACATGACCACCGCTCTTTGGCACCCAAAGAGATCCAAAGCGCCATACCGGCTAAACCTTTAGTGTCACACCAGCTAAACCCCAACCCACAAAAACCATCAATTTCCATTATTGTAAATCCAAACTCTGAACAGCCCTGTATATGTGGGCCAAAAATGGAAACTAAATCATGGTGACAATGGTGTTTCACGGTGGCTACTTCAAAACCAATTGGTAGTGCTTGGGAAAACTATAGATCTGGAAAGAGTGGATGGTGAGAAGGGGAGGGAGGGAAGGAGGGGATGGAAAGCCATGGAAGGAAAAATAAAGCATCTCGTAGTCGTGGGATTCAGAGGGAAGAGATAAGAGGAGGAGAGAAGGCAATTTCTAGTCTCCCAAGTTTTGAAAATGCATAGAGAAATTGAAATGTGTCATTATGGTAAAATGGATGTCTAATTTCTTCACCTCATTAATTTCTAGAGTCCAAAAGAATCTAAGTATGTGTAATTTCCCAAGACATAAGATGAATTGGGTAATTTTTTGGTCCACTATTAACCCATAAAAGAGTGAGTAATTGTAGAGTTTTTTTTATTTAAACTCCACACTTCTCTTTGTTCACCCCACATTCTAAGTTTACACCAACTTCTAATTCAAATTTTCACAATTTCTAAGAAAACCCCACTATATTCCCAAACTACCTCTAAATGCACACATAGCAACAAAAAAAAACTCATAAACCTCACACCCCACTATCTTGCCCCTCACCACTCTAAATTCACCTCAACTTCACATTACTTAAGAGATAAAAACACTGTTGTCAAATGTGTAGCAGCATTGAGAATGAACTAAGAGGTTTTGTGAAGAGAAGATGAGAGTAGTAGGTTTCTTGGATTGAAAGAGAAGAGTAATCTAGCAATAGGATGTAGAGGAGTTTGTGTTTTTCTAAAACTTAATATGAAGAGTGGTGGGACGTGTGTATAGATGTAATAGGGTTAAGTATTAAGTTGGATGACTTTTTTTTTGTCTTTTTACACAATAATAAAACTTAAGAGCTTAATGATTTAAGTATTGGAGTAAACAAAGAAAACTGTGGGGTTTAAATAAAAAAACTCAAATTGTATAGGCCCACCCTTCACTTTATACTAATATTGTTTTTTCTGTAAATGTTGGTTAGGCCAGTTGGTTTATTTTTTTTGTTTTGTTTGAAGTCTCTTAATTGTTCTTTCTTTTCCTTTATAGAGCTTATCTCTATCCTTCATCTTCCCTCTCTTCTAACTAATTTTTTTTTGGCTTTATGGGATCTCTTCATAGCAACCTAAACAATTTTTATCTTGTCTATGAGATCTATTTTCTCTACAAATGAAATTCTCCCATTTGGTGACTTCATTTACGTCTTAATTAATTTTAGTTTTAAAAAGGTTTCCCCAAAATTGGCAGAAACAGATGGGTAAAGTTCTAGGCTTCTTTTTTTCTTGGTTCTTAATTTCTTCGAGTACTCTTTGTTCAATGGTTGCTAAGCGAACAAAAATGAACTCCAATCACTACATTAAATCAAGGGGAAAAAAATAGTATAAATCTTTAATCAATTTTGCAATTTTAGGAAAATTGTGAAAAACATAAAACACTGCATTGAGAGAAGGTTGAGTCTTGAGTTTTTCAAAAAGCATTCACTGTTAGAAAAATAACGTAAATGAGAGAGATAATCTGTAGATCGAAAAGAATGTGAGAGAAAAAGATGGTTTAATTGTCTAAAATGGATCTTGGTCTACGTTGGATATTTTAAGTTGTGGGAGGTTTTAGAGCATTAGACGTAATTTAATATAATCATGTGGCTGAGATGAATTTGGTGTTCACAACAAGTTCGCATTTTTAAGTTGTGTATATATTTAATTTGGCTGATATAAAATGCGAGAGATTCTCCAATAAGTATTTAAGTTCAGAATTGATTACATGTTTGTAATCTTGGCTGTCGGATTGTATTTAAGAGACTACCAACACATGAATGCAATCCAACACTTAATATTAGAAGTATGTAACTCATATTCAACATAAAATACTTATTGTAGAATCTCTCAATATATATATATATATATACATACACATAAATTCTCTTATGTCCGGATGTTATTATCGTGCATACGTCATGTATTTTCTTCTATCCTTTCATGTTTTCATCCCTGGTTACAATGTCCACCATCTGTTCGCTGAAAGGCCTGAGGAGGAAGAGAAGCTGCGCAGCTTCTTGTAATTTTTCTTTTAAAAATGTCTGGAAAAAACGACACCTTTTTTAACCAAATTTAAAAAAAGAAAAAAAAAAGAAAAAAGAAAATTAGTACCCCAAAACTCACTCACCCACCCACCCACCCTCCAAAACCCAATTTTCTATTATCTCCTCAACCCTAACCCCAATCTCTCTTGCAATTATGCTCGGCTTGTTTGCCAGGCCTTTAGCATCAATCAATAATATTTAGAAATACAATCTCTCTCGCCATCAGCGCCGTGAAAGACCAAGTCCATTTCTAATCCTTTTACTTTTCGATTTTTATTTTATTTTATTTTTTCTTTCTTTCAGTTTACTGCTTTACTTTATCTTTTCTAATCCTTCTTTCTCATGCAGACTTCAGATTAATCATCCTTCTTTTTTTTTTCTTTTTTATAAAACTGAAAATGGTGATTTGTTTTTATTAATGAAATCTCAGTAATATATGTGAAGTGCAATTAAATCATTTATGTTTCTTCTGTCTCATTTTTTTTCCTTTCACCTAGATCAAAAGGTTAATATTTGGGTTGTCTACTTTCCTAGCGATTAATGTCAATATTACAGTGTTATATTTGTTTTAAAAAAATTGGTGAGCTCCCTTTGACTAAACCCTCCACAGTCCCCTTTCCACGCAGTCTTTCTGAATCCGAAGCTGCTTCTGCTGCTTATAGTTATTTCTTGTCAAATGGGTAACGAAGCCCTTCAAATGAGTCTCCCGCTAGTCCTCTTGACGATCCTTACACTCTCAGCTTCTTCAGCAACAGCTTCAGCGAGCGATCGCAGCTACAATGTAGGAGATCATGTTCCCTTTTTCGTCAACAAAGTTGGCCCCTTGAACAACCCCAGGTACATCTTCCTCACTGCCAACTAAATTGCAGTTTGTTTATTTGTTGCTTGTCTATAACTTTTGTGAGAGGAAAACGATAGCTCCTTTTAGGTCCTGCTTGGTCTGGTTTTCCAGAAACTCTAAATATATATTTCCTAATTTTCAGAAACAATGAAAATGAGGATGGAGTGGCATACCCACTTGGAAGGGTGCTTAAAGAATTTCATTTCAGCAAACTGTTTATGGGTCACTTAGAATTTGATGGTTCTGTGTGGTTTTTTAAAGACTGAGGCATAATTGTGGAATTTGATTACTTTGGAATGGGGTTTGATTGACAGTATTAAAATTAGAGCTATAGAAGGAGGGGTAGCAGTAAGTAGTATATGAACTGTTTGTGAATGTTTGATGAAATTAGTAGTTCTATGATCTGTGTTTGAATTCTCACTTCTTATGCCTGTTTCCTTATCGATTTGCAAGGGTTAGAGATTAACCTTATGAATAAAATTTCAAGAAGAGTGATTTTGAAATGATTCAGGGGCTTCAATTGCAAATAATCTTGTTTGAGGTTTTGCATTGGTCCTAGTCTTTGTAGTGGCCATCTTTTCCACTTTCTTTTTTTAATTTTTTTAATTTAAAGTTTGTTATCATGACCCCAGGATTGTGTACGTATGGTTTCAGATCTAGATAATAGTGGGCACATTGCATGCTAGGAATTAAAGATGAATAATCTGTAAGATAATAATTTATCTTCCCGCCTTTTTTTTTCCACATTTAATTTGTTTCTCCTTTTTATTCTCTTGCAGTGAGACCTATCAATACTATGATTTGCCATTCTGCTGCCCAGGTTAGCCTTTAGGGTTAGAGTGACAATTTTATGGCGCAATGCTTGGTCGAACTATTGAAGAAGTAATGTAACCTGATATCAAAGATAGTAGTTGTTCTTAGGTTTTCTGCAAGTACATAGAATGCTAGTTCAAAAGAATGAGTTTTCCATAGTTCAATAACACCAGTTGGCTTGTATTGGCTTGTATTGCCTTTGTATAACATAAAAAATGTTGGGAAAAAAAGTTAAACATCAAATGCTCAAATCTTGTTGTTTCTCAAGTTTTGTTTTGTCCAAATATTAACTAACGTTAGGTTCTTGATCAATTTGATTTGTTTTATAAGCCTTGTTTGTCCAGAAACTGAGTTGCATTGCTATTTTTGATAACTTACTAAGTGATTGCTGATCATCATGGCTTGCAGATCCGGTTATCCAAAAGAAAGAATCCATTGGGGAAGTTTTGAATGGTGATCGTTTGGCCAACACCTTATATCAGTTGAATTTCAGGCAGGACAAAAATTGGGAGAGCTTGTGCCAGAAAAAGCTTAAAGTTGCTGAAGTTGCGAAATTTAGGGATGCTATCGTTAATGATTTTTACTTCCAGATGTATTATGATGATCTTCCAGTGTGGGGTTTCATTGGGAAAGTTGAAGATGAGAGTTGGACTATTAGTGACAAGGGGACCAAGTATTATCTATTCAAACATGTGCTGTTTGATGTTTTTTACAATGGGAACCAAATAATAGAAATACGTGCTTTTAGTGATCCAAATCATGTTGTTGATATAACAGAAGATGTTGATATTTACGTTGAGTTCACTTATTCGGTTAAATGGAATGCAACATCTATTCAGTTCCAGAACAGGATGGACAGATATTCAAAGGCCTCAATACTGCCGGTCCGCCTGAAAATTCATTGGTTCTCATTTATTAACTCCATTGTCATCATTGTGCTTTTGATGGGATTGCTTACCTTGCTAATAATGCGACGCCTCAAGAATGACCTGAGAAAGTAACACATTATTCGTAACCTTTTTCAACTACATGATGTATTGGAATGGTCAGCCTAATGTTATGCGTATTTGTTGTAGGTGCTCTAATGATGAAGAAGAAGACAAGGAGGTTGGTTGGAAATACATTCACGGTGATGTTTTCAGATATCCATCCAACATGCCCCTGTTTTGTGCTGTCTTGGGTGTGGGTACCCAACTGCTCATCATGTAAGTTACTTTATTGTTCTTCAATCAATCCTCTTGTTCTTTCATGGATTTATATTCTGAAGGTAGCATGATCATAGATATTTTTTTTTCTTTTTTTTTCTTTTTACCATGATGGGACACCTATAGCGGGGCACCAATGTAGGTGTTGAAATGCCTTGTTGAACAATTCAATGTGGCATTTCTTCCATGTGTTGTTTTATGCATAGGTTCATATATAAATATAGCTATAGAATTCTGCACTCAAATGTTGTGATTCAGTAATAATTGATAATGTATGAACTGTATGAGTGATTCAGTAATATTTTATAATGTATGGACTATACGTGTCAATGTTTAACTCTTTTTGTTATTTATTTTCTCTTCAGGGTCTGCATCTTATTTTTTCTGGCATTTTTTGGAGTCCTCTATCCCTACAATCGTGGAGCTCTGTTCACTTCTCTTGTCTTTATATGTACTCTTACCTCGATTGTCGCTGGATACACTGCTGCTGCTTTCCACACTCAATTTTCTGTGATTGGATGGGTAATTTTTTGTTTTTGTTTTTATAGTAAAGTTCTTTATCATATTGTTCTATGGTCACTATATCCTTTAACTTCTTATCCTTATTTTTGTCATAAACGACGTTAATATCCAGGAGAGGAGTGTTCTTCTAACAGCAATTCTCTACCTGGGCCCATTGTTCGTGACATCGTCTATCCTTAATACAGTTGCTATATCTTATGGGGCAACAGCTGCAATACCTTTTGGCACCCTCCTAGCAATTCTTCTTATATATGCATTTCTTGCCATCCCATTGCTTGCCTTGGGTGGGGTGATTGGATATTGTTTAAGGTCTGAATTTCAAGCACCTTGTGCTACAAAGCAATTTCCAAGAGAGATCCAACGATTAGCTTGGTACAGGAGAACACATTGTCAAATGTTTATCGGTGGTCTATTGCCGTTTAGTGCAATTGCCCTTCAGTTACACCACCTGTATGCAAGCATGTGGGGCTATAAAATTTACACTCTACCTGGAATTTTGTTTCTTACATTCATCATCCTCATCATAATGACTTCAATCTTGACTGTCGGTTTGACATACATTCAGCTTTCTGTTGAAGACCATGAATGGTGGTGGAGGTATGTTCTTTTCAGCATGCACTCACACTGACGAATCTAATACTGTTGTTGTGTAGAGTTGCATGTATCTAAGCTTTTTTATTTCGAATGTGCTTTACTTTCTATTATTTGGCTGCCATGTTCAAAGTGATCTTGAATCCTTAACAACTACAAGGATTTGCTAGCTTCATAATCAATTTGTAGATGCTCTGAGTCAAGCTCTTTTTTTTTCTTTTCTTTTTTGATTGGCATTTCCTGTAGACGTTGCTGATGTAGATACCGGCATTTGTCTACTTCTTTAAGTTGGAGATGGTATTTGCACAAATGCACAATGTTTATAATGTCTTTTGTGTGTCTGATGCAGGTCAGTGTTGTCTGGGGGTTCAACGGCTATTTTTATGTTTGCCTATAGCATTTACTTCTATGCCAGATCAAACATGACGGGTTTCATGCAACTATCCTTCTTTATTGGCTATAATGCTTGCATGTGTTATGCGTTCTTCTTAATGCTTGGTGCCATTAGTTTCCGTGTTTCCTTGATATTTGTTCGCCATATATACGGTGCTGTTAAAAGTGAATGAACAAATCCGGCCTTAATGCCCAATCTGCTTCTCATTGCCTCACTCTTGCTCAGGAAATGCATGTGTAGTGAATTAGATTTGTAACATCCATGATTGAAGAAATCGAAACCATGATATAGAAGTTGGAAACTGTGGCTTTCAATGTATTCGTTTGTAATGCAATTTTAGATGCTGACAAGTTGGCTTGAGTCCTGTTGTTGGCCTGTTGTTTTTGAATGATTATGCAGCATGCCTTAATTGCTCTTGCAAAACCGAAAAAAAAAGAAAAAAGAAAAGAAAACATCATGTTTGGCTTTCAGAATTAATGAAGATTCTTCTGCGTCTCTTTATCTTCCCCGTCCTCAGTTGGTTCTTTGCAACTATCATGATGGATTTATGATAATAGTACAAATCATGGCTCAATATTGTCTTCACCAGAAAATGCCAATCAAAAGCCGGTTTCTACATCAGCAACGTGGCCTGAAATGTTCAATCCCAACATTTATAAGTTCACTAAATAACGATCAGAGCTCTTGTTCATTTTATTTGAGATAGTTCAAACTAATCCGACCCAACAAACGTGTCGGGATCAGATCAACAAATTTTTAATTTTTTAAAAAAACTTGATAGATTAGCAATTGTAACCACCTTGTTCTCAGTAGCCTAAAATGTATCAACCGACCTCCTCTTCTGGTCGACCATGGACGCATCAGAACACGAATGCGGACTTGTTTGATATCCTACTTGAATTCATTTTTTAAACTCAAAATAATTTTTGAGTCCAAAGTCCATAATTTGTGTATGGTAAAGTCCATTTTTCAAAAGCCCAACTCAAAAACAACTTTTAAAAGGCCCAATTTTAAAAACAAAAAAACTGAGATTTTACAACCCTTCTTTTTGGTCCCCTATACTCCCTCATCCCTCTCTAGCCTCTCATTCCTCCCTCTCCCCTCTCTCTCTCTCTCTCTCTCTCTCTCTCTCTCCTCCCTCTCTTGTATCTATCTCTCTTTTCCCTCTCTCGTCTCTTTCTCTCCTCTCTGACCCCCTCTCCTTTCTTTTAGTAATTTTAATTTGGGAATCTAGGATTTTTGATTTTCTAATATTAATTTCAAAATTTTCATATCTTAAAAATAATTTGGGGTTGAATACCAATTTTTAGATCTTAAAATTAGTATTTAAAAACTCAATTTTTTTTTTTAAAAATACAAAAACAAGTCATAATTTTTTAATTTTCTAGTATGATACCAAACGGGCCCTAAGTTTATGCTTGTCTCCTCAAAGAAGAGAAGGAACTTCTCATGAAATGAAAATGTGGCCAAATGGAAATGAACACATGTCTAAACAATGAAAAATAATAATAATAAAAAACTTGTAAATTAACGCCAAGAGGCAAGAGCCCCACCAGACCACCGCACTTTTTGAAGAGGTCCTCTTCTTTCAAGAGCGAAACATTTTTTCTTCTTATGTTAAATTGATTGAATCAATTATCAAATGACCATTTTCAAATTACAATAATCAATAAATAAATATATAAAATTACCAAACTTAAAAATGAACGTATCAATAATGTCGATGGTAAGAGCGCAGTTGGTTTTGTGCTCAAGTTCAACTCTCACCTAGGAGGTCCTGGGTTAGAGGCATGGCATTTAATGTGGAAAAACTTCTCCTCCTCCCGTCCCTAAGAGCATTTCCAGCAAAAGGCTCAAGGGGAGGGCTGGGGGGGTGTTTGGGGTAAAAACTCATTACCAGTAGTGGAGGCAAGCCCGGGCGCGATGGTGGGACCCAGCAAAACGGGCTGGCACGTGCTGACATCGTCGTGACGCCAGGGCTACAGTGTCCGCCAACAATTATGTGCCATGTGTCGTGTCCTAGGCTCTTCGATCATAATTTTTGCTCCAATCCAACGGCAGCCAATATTTTTGTAATAAAAAATTGAAAAAAATACCAAAAATTTACTTTTTTTTTTTTTTTCTCTCTCTATACATTATTTCCATTTTCAACATTTAAGTAAATGTCTTTGTCCTTTTACTTTTATTTATTTTTATATTACTCCATTTACTTAAGTTTACAATGTAAATAAGGAAGTACCCCCCATTTGGATTCAAATAAAAATACTAGAAAATCAAATTCCCACCAAATCAAAATATGAAAAATCGGTTTTAGTGCAAAATACGATTTTAGGCTAAAAATGATGTCTCATTAAGTCAATATATACTTCATATTAAAATCCCATAAAATCAAGTTTTCTTATTTGATGTGTAAGGAATAAAAGCCGCCAAAAATTATCTTGAGAAAATGATTATTCCGAAAAAACCATTTTTCATACTTAGTCAATATTGCACCTCCACTTTTAACACTTTTAACACCAAATCCTCATACTTTTTTTTTTTTCTATAAATACCAACCAATACAACTAATAAAATAAAATCTTATCCGATAAAATAAAATCTTGCCTTTCATTTCATTGTATTTTTTTTTTGTTTTAATAATTAGCGGTCATTCATGTATTTTATTTTATTAGTTGTATTGATTTATCTTAAATTTGAATTTTGAAACCAAAAATCTTATCCGATATGAATAGTATTGACACGTAGGAACCCAAAAATCTTATTCGAAAATATTATCCAAATCAAATGTTTAAGTAAACAAAGCTGTGAAAAAAAACAAAAAAATGAATAGTATTTGCCATGGCAAGCCTAAAACTGCTGGAAACACACTTTGCTAGGGGGGCTAGGGCAGCCACTATTCACGTGAATAGTAGCCGCCCTAGGGCTTCCCTTGCCATGACAAGGGGCTAACTGGTGGAAGTGCTCTAACTAATGCCAAAAAAGAGAATAAAAAAGGTTAAATTTAATTTATGGAAAGTGAAGTTCAAACTTGGGATAAAAGGCAGACTCACTTTCCTAGCTAGGTTTAACATTATATGAATTGAGTGCGTCCACATCTTTGCGCTATTGAGAAATCAATTCCTTTATGCTCACTGGTTCCACCTCATAGATGCCCTTCCATTTTACCCACCAACCTCGTTGGACTAACCTCCAATCGCTTTAAAAATCACACACATCATCACCCAACACATGTCCACCTCACGAACCCTAAAATACACATACTATTCTAAATATTTTCTCTCATGAGAACTAAACCACACAAATATGAACCCCAAAGCTACCATGAGACGTAGATAACTCACTTACCATACACCCCTATATTCATGACGTGTAATGTAAACCCCCACCCATTTTCTCTTTGGTTTTCCTTTCTTCCCACACCCAAACACAAACCCCAGCAAGCCTCCATAAAACCCCACACAGCCCCTCAACAACTCTAGCCTCAAAATGAAGAGAACCCATTTCTCATTCATGGAAGAAAATCCCAACAATATAATCAACATGGGCAGCCAACAGATTCCTGCTTTTTCCGGGAAGAGAACCAAACACCACGACCCTAACAATCTTGTGGGATTTCAAAGCATGCAGAAGCCTGTGGAATTGCATGGTGATGGTGGTGATCATCAGGTGCACTACTTGTCGGGACGTGAGAGGCTGAAGAGGCACCAAGAGGAGGTAGCTGGCCGGGTGGCTATCCCCGATTCATGGGATCAGGAGGACCTGCTCAAGGATTGGATCGATTATTCTCCGTTTGATGCGCTGTTGGTTCCAAAAGGACTCACTTCAGCTCGTGAAGCACTTGCCATGGAGGGACGTCGAGCAAGTAGTTCTCAAGGAGTGCTGAGAATAGAGAGTAGGTGTTGAAAAAGTGCTTAAAATTTTTGGGCATTTTATTTTATAATTTAGACAGTAAATCAGAATAATCATTTTCTTTAATTCTAAGTTAGTGTAATAAAAGGAATGTCTCTAGCTATGATATATATCTTTCCCAGTACAAGGTAGCTATGACAAATTATGTATGAATAAAGAAAAGCAAAGATGTGCATGGAATTCTGGAATATATAGTACTGTTTTTTGGGGGAAATTGAAATACTCAAAATAAATACTTTCTTACTTATCATGTGAGTCTAGCTTGTTTGAATCTAAATTATAGGTGAATTCTTGTTTGCATCTGCAACTTAGATTTGCATCAAGAGATTACGTATCTTCTATTTTGGGCTTGTTTGGTTTGCGGATTAAACTTCCTAAGAACGAATTTTTTAGATGATGTATATCTTAAATTGTTTTTCTTTTTCTAGGTTTGGCCTCCAAAGTTATCATGGATCTATATAGAGAATTTTGCTAATGGGTATAAAAGAGTTACGATCGATGTAAAGAAAAAATATAAGCTATACAAAAAGAAATTAAAAATTTATTTAAACATAATGGGTTTAAAGAGTTAAGATCGATGTGATGAGTGTGAAAATTAATTAACATTTCTAAGTTAAGTTCAAAACAACGGGTTAATTAAAAATTAACATTAGAAAATTAAACTCTTAGAGTGGGAGTTGTAATATTGTCACTTTAACATAGTTATATGCAAGGTATAAAATATCTATAATATCGACAAAATATTGAGAATATTATTGTTTTTTCGGGTTTATGATATTTTGGAACATATACACATATTGTATAATTATCAATAATATCGGAAAATATTGACGTTGATGAATTCTCACACGCTTCAACAACATTTGGCCAAAATATTGCGATAATATCGAAACTATCGCTATATGAACTACGTCAACCAATCTCGGGTCCATATGGGTGGCATGTCATGCAAAACTATTTTAGGGATTTATCATTTGATGACTACTATTCACAATACACTTACTTTACACATAGAGAGGATAAAGACAGTAAAAAATTTGAACCTCATAGGAACTCTATGTTATACTAAGTCACTCATGTATCTTACCATACAATGTATAAAGTATAAAAAATTATAGTAAATCATTATCAATAAATTATTATGGTGTGTTTAATCTTCTTTCATTATTACTACATATTTTATACACTCGCAGTGTAACATCTAGGGAAAAAAAAATGATATTAATAAAATAAATAAATTTAACTTAATTATGAGTTATAAATTCAAAAAAAAAGAAAAAAAGAAAAAAAGAAAAGGGCAATGTGTAAGCAAGCCTTTGTTCTTCTCTTCATTCTTCCCCCCTTCTCTATTTTTCTTCAAAAAAATCTGATTTTGGAATGAGTTGTTCATCTATTGGAGGTGAGTCACCTAGTCTAGGTTAAGGATATTAATAGCATAAACTAGGATAAGTTTGGGAATGAAAGAAAAGAAATTTGGGTGAGGAAGAGAAAGGAGAATAGGAGGAAGAGAATAAAAAAATTCTCTAAGGTGAGTCAATTTCAAAAGATTTTATTTTAACTTTGTCTTTGTGTGTTTCTAGTCTCTTAAAGAGTATTTTGAGTCATTTGAGAGATGGGAAAATTGAATTAGAAGAGGTTGAATTTCTATTTTCGGGTTGGGTGGATAGAGAAATTTTTCAAGTGGGTGTTGTTGATTTTGGTTTCATTTTGGGTTTTTGATGAGTTCTATGATAGGTATGAAGTTTAGAAGAGTTTTTGGCAGCCTTAGAAACAATCTAGGGATGTTAGAATGGTTGGAAACAATTTTGAACCAAATCTGGAAATTTGCATTTTCTGAAAATTTGTAGTCTGTGAGCCTCAATTTGGCTCTCTTTTTCTCCCAATCCTTTGAGTGTTTGAGGAAGCCATTTTTGGGTTTTAAACTAGACTTGGCAAGGAACAAAACACAATTGGTTTAGTCTAATTTGGTTGAGTTTTGATAGGTCAAACACATGTGCAAAGTTTGGAAAAAAAAATCTGTTTTATGCAGAAAAACCAGCCATGAGTCCAACTTTGGGGCTAGTTTCTCCTTCGTTTTAGCTCCGTTTTGAGTATGGTTTGTTGGGTTAGAAACTAGAGGGAATAAGCTTCAAAAATACTACAAGTTTGCTCATTTTCGTTAATGTTTGCTAGGTCAAAATGTCTCACAAAGTTTGGGTTTTTAGTCTGAAAAACAGAGGAAGTTGCATGATTTTTTTTGAAGACGATTAACTACTGGAAACAAGCCCACTCGCGGCTCCGGCGAGTGGGGGCACGTGGCGGCTGTTCTGGCAGCCTCCGATGCCATATTTTTAGTCCATCCGGCTCGATTTCTCGATCCGAGTCCGATGGTATAGATTTCAGGTCGTTTTGAGGGGTTTGGCTTGGAGAGGGAGTGCACTCTCTATGTTAAGGGAGAAAAATGTTTTTATAAAATTAGATTTTCTAACTTCATTTATGTTATTTATTTTTCAAATCTAGGAACGAGAGAGAACCCGGCAACCTCCGAAGGGTAATTTCATCATTTTAGCTTCTTGGACACAAGGTAGGGTTTCTTAATTCCCGATGATTAGGCTATATCCCTTTTAATCTTGGTGCTTATATATAATACTATAAATATGAATATTATTGTTGCTTTACTCAGTGAATATTATTTGATGTTATGTGAATATTATTATTAATGTTTCTCCATGGATATTATTTTTTACGTTGGGTAAATATTATTATTTATGTAATTAAATTTGAAATATTATTGTTATTATCTGTGTTATTATTTAACAGAAATAAATGAGGTTTGCACTGCATTACATATGCATCACAAAGACAGTGGTGTTTGGGGTGTGTGTGTTTGGGGTGAGAGAAGACTTTAGATATATCTGAGTAATAAAAATGTGGAATAAATTCAAATGATGGGGGCAGGGCTTGAATATATTGAGGTGATAGGAGCAGGGCCTTTAATGAAAGTGAAAGTTGAGAAATTCGTAAACAAAAGAAAACTGGGTTAAGGGACAGATGGGCGCTAGTTCATATTTTAGGGTATTTGGAGCTACAGTGGTAAAACGCACGGTATGAGACATGTAGGCTTGTTGTCCTATGGTATGAATTAGAAGGATTAGAAGGAAGTGAGTTTATGGTATCACCGCATGTGCAAATTTATTTATTTGGTCTGATTGCATAACTTATATATCTTGTGTTGTTTGATGCATGACACTTTGATTAGCTGTGATAGTTGACCTTGAGGGGTTTGACGATACTCTACTGGGCATTAGAATGCTCATTCCCTAATAGATTGTGCATGATTCAAGGCGAAGTTTGAGGGAGTGGGTTTCAACCAATCTCCTAGGCTTTTGTTGTTGATTTGTGTAATTAAATTTGTAAGTAGTTAACGGTTTGATAAAGATCTTAGTGTGTAATTAACTACGAGCTAATGCGACTCTAATTCTGTATTGTTAAGTAAATTTTTATTTATTTGTGGCTCTTTTCTCATCATATCATGGTTGTATGATTTTATTCTTATGACTATGGTATGACTCACACCCTGCTTCGGGAATATTCCTTATTCTCGAATCGAGTCGTGACATACAGTGTTTGTCAGCTCATTATACAATCAACTTAAATCAGTTAAACCCATCATGCAAAGCATTTCCTTCCAAATTTTTGTGTGATAAACTAATAGATAATTGACTAAAGAAACATCTTCCAAAGTTTCAATAAAAAATTTCAAGTTTTTCTTACAATTGCCGTGGTTTTTATTCAATTTTACCAATATCAATAATTTCCCGATATTTCCATCAAAATTTTCGTATTTTTTGACCACTGGTATTTCCGAAACCATCGATATTTTAGACATTGGTTATATGCAATGTCTATGAAAAAATTAAAGGAAAAATGAGAGTGGGGGATATGACTATTTTGGAGAGCTAATAATAATTTTCATTAATTAAAACAACATATAAGGTGGAGCTTCTAGCACTTTAATTCAAAAACTACGAGAGGAAATTTTGAATTTCAAAGTTGAAAGAAATTATATAGACAAACTAACTTTTGATCTAATGATACTTCTCTTTTCAATGTTAGCTAAAAAGCTCAGATCTCATTCCCCTACTAATCAAAAACTTGAAAGAAACTAAACAGAAGTATAGAAAATATAATGACAATTGGAAAGTATACTTGTAATAACTAGATCTTTCAGATGAAATATAATTGTTTAATCTTTTTCTCACAAGCAAACTTCCATTTTCTTATGAGTGAGTAGTACTATTGACCAAGAAAAAAAAGCAAAGAATTGTAGTACTGTTGAGAAAACCAAATCACTCATACTTGATGCTTTTGCAAGCTAGATATAGCAAATTTGTAACTCATCAGTTTATGTTGTATGGATAAAATTTGGCAAAGAGAGACTTTTGTAATTTGAACAAGAAGAAGAGAGATAGGCAGACAGGTGTTCTATGATGCCTCATTTGAATGAATATATATAATGTGCAAAGAAGCCTCTAGGATGACCTTAAAAAATTGCACACTACTTTAAAGTCAGTTAAATTCTCTAGTTTGAAAAGTAAAGAAATCACAATGCAGATTATGACAAAGGTTAAATGACTACTCTTTGTTACGAGCTCATAGGTAAAACTTGCCTCTAAAAATTGACTTGTGGTGGAAGGGTGTCCAAGAGCTCTTAAATCACTGTAAGATATACTATTTTTTCAATATGGGATCTTGAGTCCTAACACTTACTGGACTAAGAAAAGGGTTTGCATTTACGCTAACGAGAAATCGAGGCAATTAACTTGGTAGCATGGATGTCAGTGTTCTCGAATTGAACTCTTGATTGTATAACTCGAACAACACTTCAATCTTATTGAGACTAAAACAAAGAGTAACGTTTTCCATATTTATTGTTGTTAATGCAAAGTTTCATAACACAAGTTGCAATGTGGTTGTCTATTTCTAAGAAACATAAAAATTGTTTTCTTAAGACGTCTCAAATTTCAATCTTTCTTTTGCTATTAAAAAAGAGTATAATAGGTTAAGGCTTAAAGGTGCCACCCATAGTTGGGGCCCATCCAGGACCACCTCGTGGTTCAGACCGAAAAAAGAAGAAGAAAAAAGAGTATAATAGGTGATTCACTTAGTGCCCGTTTGACATTGCTTATTTGGAGTGATGATTTTTAAAAAATGTTGGAAAGTCCAGCCCGTTTGGTATGAGAAAATCACTTATTGTTAAAAATTGCTGTGAGAGAAAGCTATAAGGGAAAGTAACTAATGAGGTACTTTCATTTTCTGATTATGCAGAATTTCAATTTCGAAGGGGCGTTGGGTTTAATGATTATGCGGCAATTATTTTTTGATTATGCGAGAATCAATACCAACAACATTTTTAACAAAAAGTTTACAAATGTCAAATTGCTCTATCTCACAGTTGATTTCTCTTACAACAAATCTGACAACGATTATTTTCACATCACAGCAATGCCAAACTAACCCTTAGCCTTCAATAGACAGACTTTGATAGAGTTGAGATTTGTGCCTTTTAGGCTGAACGCATGAAATTGAAACTCCATACGTTAAAAATAAACCCAATTGAATTGAAAGTTCCCCATAATATAAACATACTTCAAAAAAATTTAATTTAATCATTCTTAAAAATATTGTTTGTAGAATAATTTGAAATTTTTTTTTTTTTTTTTTTTTTTTTTTTTTTTTTTTTTTATAATAATTGAAAAAGTTGATTGCCAAAATCGTTATAAATGATATCCAGTCCAAACCCAACAAACAGTGTTTAGATCAAATCTAGGCCCAAACGGAGGAGCTTGGTTCCAAGGGAATCCAAGATCCAAGTTGAGCAAACTTTGACCCGGCCCAAACCCATCCACAAATCAGACACGTGGACAATCATTTCATTAGGGTTTATCAGTCACCACCTCACAATCTTCTGTTCCTTATATTTAGCTCCCTTAGCCGCCAGAAACCCTAACGAGGGCTTCCTCTACTCTCAGGTATTTCGTCTCTCTCTCGCTAGCTCTGTGCCATATCTGATTTCTGAATTCACCTTCAGTCTTTTTCTTATTTAGATCTTCCGGTTGAATTCGTAGATCTTCAATTCTCTGTTTGTTTCCCGAGAAAAGCACAAAATTTGCAATTTTTATTTTGTTCGATTTGGTTCAAAATTAATTTTTATTTTGGTGTTTTCATTATTTATGTTTGTTTGGTTTGTTCAATTAATCATTGAGGCTTCATTTGCAGATTCGTTGTTTGGTCAGACAGCTTAAGATTCAACCATGAGGTATGCTGTAATTAACTGATTGGTGTCATATAGCGCTTTGAAAGATTGTGTTTTTTATTTAGCTTCTCCAATGTTGAGAAGATTAATTGTTTCCTGTATTGTTTATACCTACTTGGGGTGTTGTTCCAAAGTCGCTGGAATCTGTGTAGTTTATTTTATGGTTGAAAACTTTATTCTCGAGTCTAAATTAGACAAGGATTAGTTGTTTTCATTGAGTTTTAATTTGGCTGTGGATCGGGGTTTGTAGGCTACGGTATTTTTTCCTCTTTTTGAGTTTTCTAGATACAAGTCAATGCATAGATCTTAAATGTATTTCACGTGTTTTATGTGATTGTTCAGTGAAAAGTTATGGTTCTATGGATGTACATTCCTGTAGTTAGAACTCGTTGACTGTGATTTGAGTATCACTATTTACAAAAGCCATAACTGATCTAGTGTCTGACAGTGCCTATTGATTAGAATCAATGCATTTATGTATGACATGCCAAATGGATGTTATTGGGTGTTACCATTTCATCATTTCTGACTTTTTCTGTCTCCACAGTAAACTTCAGAGTGATACTCTCAGAGAGGGTATTTCCACCATCATGGCTGCGTCCAAGGAAAAAAACCGCAAGTTCACTGAGACCATCGAACTTCAGATTGGGCTGAAAAATTATGATCCCCAAAAAGACAAACGTTTCAGTGGTTCTGTTAGGTTGCCACACATCCCTCGTCCAAAGATGAAGGTTTGCATGCTTGGAGATGCTCAGCATGTTGAAGAGGTAATGTTTGTTCCACTCGGTAAAGAATTCAAAGAAGATTAAATTTTAGGGAATGCCTTTATAGAACTGTTCTGTGTTTTTATTCCAAATTCTTCCAGAATTTTCAAAGTTTAATTCTTTTGCACCTGCGCCATTAAAATTTCAAAGTTTAATTCTTCTTTATTGATTAATTACAGGCTGAGAAGATAGGGTTGGATTATATGGATGTTGAAGGGCTGAAGAAGCTAAACAAGAACAAGAAATTGGTTAAGAAACTGGCCAAGAAATACCATGCCTTTTTGGCATCAGAAGCTGTTATTAAGCAGATTCCCCGTCTTTTGGGTCCTGGTCTCAACAAGGCAGGTGTGTATCCAATCCAGTCTACAGAAGGAGTCTAGGATAATTGGTGCTTGCTTTGTTACTTTTAATTTATGCTTTGTATGGATTGTTGAATTAGAGACCTTCAGATTTCGTTTTGTCTCCTTGTTTTGGTGTTAAAAAAATTTGTGATCAGGTTTTTCATGAAGGTGTACAAATGAATTTTCTTTCAGAGTACTGATGTTTTCTTTCGGTGTATGAACTGTAGTGGCATCTACTTTTCTTGTTTTACTAATGTTTGTATGCGATGTAGGAAAATTTCCAACCCTGGTTACTCACCAAGAATCGCTTGAGTCTAAGGTTGCCGAGACAAAAGCAACCATTAAGTTCCAACTGAAGAAGGTTCTTTGCATGGGAGTTGCTGTAGGGAATGCCTCCATGGAGGAGAAACAGATCTTCCAAAATGTGCAATTGAGTGTTAACTTCCTTGTTTCACTTTTGAAGAAAAATTGGCAAAATGTAAGTAATACAGTTTTTGTTAAAAGAATATTTATTTCTGTTACGATGCTTGAAATTCTCGTATTTCATTTTATTAAACTAGTTCTTTCAAAGTGTTATCAAGCCGGTAGTGTGCAGTTTACTATTTGAACATCTTGCAGTAACATCGTCTAATTTATTATATTTAAATATTTTTTTTTATCAGGTGAAGTGCTTGAACCTGAAGACTACTATGGGGAAGCCATATCGCATCTATTAAGAAGTCATTTACTTATTTTGGATGTAGGGGCAGGTTAAGGAAAGCCTGATACTTAATAGGAATTGTGTTTTTATCTGAATGGTCAAGTTTTCGTGTTTGTTGGCTGTTTTACTTTGTTTGATGGTTATCGACATTGTTATGGTAGACTTGATATCAAAATCTTGTTGGAGATGAAGCCTGGTTTTCATTCGTTCGGCATGAGCATGTCTTTTGCATCAGCATGTCTTTAGTGGGAAATGAGTGCACATGTACTGCTTTGCTGATCGTAACATATCTTGCTTCTGATAGCCATGGGTTGCATGATTGGTCCGGAAAAAGAGAGCTTTCGGCAGTAGTGTTTTAGAGCATAAGAAGTTTGGGGTTGGTAAAGCTATAATACTTGGTGATGCCCGAACCCTTTTTATACTGTTCCGTTACGTATGTATGATTACATATTGGAGCCGCCTCCTGCCTAGCAGTAAGACCACGAAAGGAAACACCTAAAAATAGCCGAGTTTGTACCCTAAAGAGAGAATTGGATAACTTTTGTCCCTAAAGAGAATTGGATAATTAAGACTACAAAAACTAGATCTCGAGGGATATCCAAATTTCTAACTCTTCAAGAGAGTTAAATCCCATTCTATATCCATTGGAGTTGAAGAGGTACGTGGGCAGCACTTCCTCCTCTGGAGACGAATCCAGTTCTTAAGGAAGTAAACTCAATCGATCGGAGATAGGTATGCATCTGTTCTGGCAGCGACCTGAATTTCTTAGAAACAGGGGAAAGAAAAACAAAGTCTGTAGAGAAGAGAATATAGCTATCCATCTGCAACTAGATTTTCAATGACAATCACTGCTTCATTCATTCAAATGGGCGGATCTGTGTAAAGGGCAGGATGGGTGCCCGCCCATCCCAAAGTTTTTTATGTTTTTAAAACCTATATATGTTATAAGGGCAGCCCAAATTTTAAAACTTAAAAGCTAATCCAATATAAACACGTTGCCCATCCAACTTCCTAGAGGAAGTGGTCCCTTATATTTTGTCTCTTCTCTTTTGGCACAGCTTGTTTATCTCTTCTATTCTATAGCGACCACAACAACCTCTTTTCCCCCGCTCTATTTTCTGCATATTCCTATTATACTGGCTGGGCAGTGGGCAACCTGGCAAAATTATCTCCTCTCATTTTCTATATATATTTAATTATAGTTTTAATTTAAAATTGAATATTCTAGGATTTACTTAGAGATTAAATTATAATTTTTGATTTTGTTTAAATTAAGTTGGGGCTTTGATTTTATGAATTTTGTTGAGATGTTTCAATGTTTGATTTGTTTTTTGTTCATATTGTTGAGATGCTATTATTATGAGAATTTGTTTGATTTTTTGTTGGTATGTTTGATTTAAATTATTTATTTTATATGTTATTCGTAGGTTATCTTTCATTTGTGGTTTTTGTTTTTGTTGTTAAGCTTTTATTTATGTATAGATGTATTTGAGGGTAAGGCTCACTACGTTCTCCCTGACTAGGTATATCTTTTTTCTGATTATTAATGAAATTTACTTGTATCGTCGAGTTTAGTATGTAAGTTCCACCCAATTGGCTTTCCAATTCTGGATCCGCCACTAAGTTCCATGATGAAGAAATCAACCAGAGAAACCTGTCCAAATGTGGACAGCAAACTGTTGTCAAGTTCGATACTAAATAGTATTGGACTCTATTTATGAATTGATACATAGACAAACAAATTTGGTAAGAGTGATCAGTACCAGGATTTGAATAACGCATTTTGATGCTTGAAACCGATAGTTAAAAGAGATATTTAGTTATGAATAATGCTACTCTTACCACATTTGTATACCACATTCTCATACCATCTTATGTGGCAGATGAGGTGGACAGCTACATCAATTAAATTTATTTAATATTTTCTTTTCTTTTATGATTTATTAACACTTTAAAAAAAATTGTTAATTAAACTTTCTTTATTAAAATACACTTCATTGATTTAATTGACGTGACATATATTATGGACATGCCACATCATGAGGTATAGAAATGTGGGATAAAAATATGGTAAGTGTAGCATTACTCTTTAGTTATATACCAATTCTTAGCACTAGTGATATAGGTAAACCCTACACCATTTAATTTCTATAAACATAATAATAAAAAATAATTAAAAAATAATTTTAAAAAACCCAAAAATTGACAGCTGGTCCTATTGAATTTAACTTTGATGATTAAATTACTTTGATGCCCATTGAGTGTATTGGGGTTTTTTAATGAGGTTTTGGGATTGGGCTTGTTTTAATAAATCGAGGGTAGTTTTGTAATTTATAGGAAGTGGGAAATCTTTTTGTTATGTTATACTTGGACTTTGGGTGTGTTCTTAAAATCCATTTCATATAGGTTTTTTTAATAATAATTTGAACTCCTATATTGGGTATAATAATGAATCTCCCTAGTTAAAAACCTCTAAATGCATGTAAGTCAACTGAAATGCAAGGATGTAAGAGATTAAACCTAAACAGAACACGTGGTCGAAAACAAAATCATCAAATTGGTAAACACATTTGAAATCTTGACATATGCCAAAATGTTGAACAAATATTCTGTGGCAAATGTGTTCAACAAATTTGTAAACCCTTCGAGAACGTAGCATGTTGTAAAGTTTAGTGGATAATATTAAAAAAATATAAACACATTATAGAAACAGTTGAGAGGAAATCAGGATTAAGAGAACACATTTATCAAGGATACACTACTAAAATTAAATCTAGAAGTAAGCACTTTGAATTTCACTACCGAAACAGAGACTGCAAAACTAAGTAGCAGATAGAGAATCAAATAATTATGATTACAAAATCTCGGACCCATGAAGAAGACATGGGACCACATCACATTCGTTTGTTGTCGACCCATAAGTTGTGGATGTGAGCAATCTTAGGCTACTCTTACCCTTGCTCTTTCTGGCACGGTTCTACGAGCAAAGAAAAACTATTAATTGCTAAACTAGAGAGAGAAACAAGGAGCCTTTCATTTGGCAATCAATAGAGCTCAGGGTAAGCCTGAATCATGAAGTCCTTAAGAGAGGTAAGGTGTCTTAAGAGAGGTAAGGTGTCTAAAGCACTTGCTATCCATGGTCTTAAGATTCAAAACATTGTGCATGTAGAGAGTAGTGTCCAACATCCCCTCCTCCGGAAAAGAATCTGTCTTCACATCATTTGAAGCTGACACTTAAATGTATTAGGGAGGTGAGTGCTCATAGACCCCACTGCATAGGATATGCACCTAGTGTTTTTGCAATTAAAGAACTCTAGTGATTGTAATTTTGATGAAAATTCCCCTTTCGGAAATGATTGAAGGCCTGGACAATCTTATGTGGACATAGATAGTATTCAGAGATGGGAAAATGGTGTGTATCTGTTTTGGTAGTAACCTCAGTAGACATCGATGGAAATCTAATTTCGTCAAGTTGGGTGCATGCAACCCTTCATCAGGAAAACAAATAAAATTTGGGCAAAAATCTATACGAAACTACTGAGGGATATGAGCTTAAGGCATCCAGATTTTTGAGAAAGAGTAAAGGATTCTAGATTAGTATCTCACAATTCAACCAGTTCAAGATTTAAAAAATAGTCTAATGGTAATGTTCCAATTAACTTGGGACACAACTCCAGACTAAGCCCACAAAGATCAAGAAAAGCTCTACCTTATTCTTAGTTACCTCTAATATCAGATCACTCTTGCCACTCCTTCATGTTGAAGAATTTCAAAACTTGTAGAGATCTAAATGGCTTCATTCATGTACATAAAACTCATGACCGATCAACACCAATTGATTTAACATTTTAATTTCAAGCTCTACAAGGTTAGTTGCCCTAGGTTGGCAAGGACAAATAATAATCGCAACACTCAAGTCAAAGAAAAACTAGATTTGAGAAAGAATGATTTCATAACCAACATGAAAATGTTGTACCATAGTAAGATTTTAAAATGAGTTTCTGTAGGTTTATATGCCGGTGGAGGTTGTAAAGGACTTGGCTATCATTTTGTGAATCTTCAATATCACTTCCCCAATTCAAAGTAAGCTCCTTAAGATACATATTGTTCCTCATATTGGCATTGAAAGCATCATTTGGATAGAAAACAATATGTTCTATCTAGTGTGTTTGTCCCACACAAACTCACCTCTTAACGTTTGTTGCTCTTTCAATTTTCTCATATGTGGGGGCATCTTTTTTAACTTCTTGTGTTCAACATCAAGATGATCTAAGTTGGTTAGTATTTCCAAGTACGTCAACATAGTAAGAACATAACAAAGCGAAAAAAATAAAGTTTTCAAATTACACAAAGTACATAATATATTAGTTAACTTTGTGATTTAAGTGCAAGACATATCCACGTACTGCAAACTTAAAAGGACATTTTAAAATATTTCATCGACTATAGACATTCCATAGATCATAAAATCATGTCAATCATATCGTTACTCCAAAAATCATCAAGGACATGGAGAAATTTATTTCCTATCAAAGCTTTATTGAGTTCAACATGAAGATTTCTTAATAATGAGTGGTTACAGATATCTTTCACCAACCACAATAAAACAAATTCTCATTTTATGAATTCTTATGCTTTCTGAAATAGTGATAGGCAAAACAACACTTCACATTTAGAGGTAGGTAATAGTGCATCGATTGTAGATCCGGCATAATGTGAATGATCACGTTGTCTCACAATTCTCATGTATTATTCCCAATATCTTTGTCCATCCATCAAAAGTTGATTTAGAACATAATAGAACACAAAGGGATTTTGCAACTAAATGGTGACCTTTAAAGTTCCTATCAAGTTCTGTTTTGATTTCTTTAAGATCTCGATGTACACTACAACTTATATTATTGAAGGCATGATTTACAAATAAAAATCAACAATCTTCATAAGATATTTATGTTATATGATGAGTTTGAAGAGTAACCATCATAAATGCAACACTTTCATTATGTGTAGTGATGA